AACCTTATCCAAACTTCGGACGTGATGAAGCTACGAAGCATGTGTCGAGGCTAGTCCCATTACGTTGGGTGTAAACTTCTCGTATGTTGGGAGTAGTGGCCACCTGGCTTCGGACGTGTTGTTTTGGGCGAGATGCATGTCGCTTGCGAAGAAAGAGGCTACGTGGACAATTCGAGACCTTGCTTCTGAATATGCTGGGCGTACTCAATTACATTGGGCGTACTCACATTTCTTCAACATCAAAAATTCATAACTTTCACATACGGGCTCTGTTTTTGACATTCTTTATATCCACGTGTAGGTGAGATCATGCTCTACAACTTTCGTTTAGGTTTTGTTCGCTAATTTTGATTTTATTTTTAAAGTTATATTTTTAACAGGCCAGGACAGGAAAAGTCTGTTAAAAATTTATAACTTCTTCATTCAACATCCGTTGTTGTCTTTATTTTTTATGTTGGATTTCTTTTGATAAGATCTCCAATTTTCGTTTGGATTGTTTTGGCCAAATGTTGATCAAACTAATTTTCGAGTTTCGGGTTGAGTACTGGTATGTCGAAACTTAGAAAAATCATAACTTCTTCATACGAAGTCAGATTTAGACGTTTTTTTATGGTTACTCTCGGTTTAACGTATAGTATAACTTTTATTTAGATGGTTAAGGCATAAAAGTATTTTATTGAAAATTTACTTTTTAGGTTAAACATTGTTTTGCCAGTTTTGTTGTGGATTTTCGATAGGTCATAACTTCTTCGTTATAACTCGGAATTGGGTGTTCCTTATATTTTTGAAATCCTTGACATGATTTCTACCACTATATTGATCCCAAACAAGTTTATACAACCTTTCATTTTTGAGGGTCGGTATGTAACCGCACATACTATACAAATTTTTCTCTAATTATTAATATATACTTATTACCTAAAGTTGAAATAACAGGTTGTTACAGTTTGGGGCTAATTTGTAAAATTGGGCCAAGTATGGGCCTTGATTGATAATTTGGTTTTGGGCCTTTTAGATTTTTGAGTTTAGGCCTTAGTCATGGGCCAAACTAGGTGAGGGATAAATTGGTTTCTTTATCCCAAGAATGAACTATTAGCAGTGGCGGCCTAGGGGTGGTATCGGCGGTGTGGTCGCACCGGGCCTCCGATCTTAGGGGGCCTCCGATTTTTGGGATAATTTATAGTTATCGTATTGTTATTTTTGTAAAATCTATTTTTATGTTTTATCAATAAATAAAATTAGCCCGGTAACATTTGATTTCTATTTTAGATGCATTTCAATTATGAAAAAAAATCAACAAAAATAAAAATCTAATCATAAATTTAAATTTTATCAACAATTTAAGGAAAATATCTATATCTAAAAAAATGCAAATATGTTTTCTTTATAAATTTTAGAGAATTTTTTTTTATATTTTATAAACTCACCAAAAGTAAAAAAAAAAATCTCATAGATGAAAGTCTCATAGATGAATTTTCTTCTAAAAATGCTAAAAGGTCGATGTCTAGAAAATAGTAATGCGTTGTTTTTTTAAAAAGTTGTTTATAACAATTTTACAGTTTTATTTGATTACCCATGAGTGAAGATATTATTTTGTGGTAGCGAATTTATGAGATGTTTTTTAGCAACTTTTTGTTTTAAATTAGTGGTAACAAATGTAGTTAATAATATTTGTAAGAATTTTTTTATGGGGCCTCACTTTAGTTTTTGCATAAGGTCTCCGAAATGTCAGGGCCGGGCCTAACTATTAGACTTATGGTTATGGTTCGGGACCCAAATGTTGGTCGGGTGTTGTTTTGATACTGATAGTTCAGGGATCAGTTAGCCAACAGCCTGAGATTTATCTGCTGGAATCAGTAGTGCGAGGCGAGCGTCCTCACTATGTATAGCAGGTCGATGGCACCAATTCCGGCCCATAATTGTTATGTTTAGTATGCTTGTTGTCTGCATGACTCTTGCATGTGTTATATGTTTTATGTTTACCGAGTGGGGCTCAATGTCGGGCGAGACCTGATGAGTATATTGTATGCTAGTTATCTGTATATGTACTTATGATTACCGGGTACAACCCGATGTCGAGTGGGGCCTGATGACCATTTTGTATGTTATGTATCTTCATGATTATTGCATGTGCTATGTATTGGTATGTCGATTTGTCTATATGTTCATATGTCTTACATGTATACTAGTCGGGGCCCAATCTATACTGAGTTTGGCTCGATGTCGGGCGGGGCCTAATATGTGTTTGCTTGTGTATGTTTGGTATGCGGTACTTTGGGGGAATCACTAAGCTTTGTTCTTATAGTTTTCAATTTATGTTTCAGGTACTTCGGTTTTCAAATAGAAGAGCTCGGGATGATTGCAGAGCACACACCATATGTTTTCGCCTTCTTTGATTTACTTTGATTTGATGATGTTTTGATAAATCTCGATTTACTTGGTTTTATGGAAGTGATATGTATTAATGATTTATTAACCTAGAATTGAAAATTTTATATTATTTTTTTCGGACGTTTTCGCTGGGTTTCTGCGATTCAAGGGTTTTGAGAGGGTTCCAGATGTTGGTGATTGAAATGTATTTTTCTCTTATGTTAAAACTGGATTTGATGCCCCCTGTATACAGGGTGATGATTTTAAACCCTGATGATAATTACCAAATATAATAATAATAATAATCTATGGAATTCAAATCATTTTGGAATATTCTATATTCCATTATTTTCTAATTAATTAATTAAACTATTAATTAATTAAAAAAACAACTTTCTTATATAAATAGGAGTATCTTTTTAGTTCTGCTTTATTTTGTTCTTGTGTGTAATCCAAAAGGACATTGATATTTATAATAATATTACTAGGCTTGTTATGGCTATGAGCAATAACCTCCATCATTTCCTCCCTTGCTCCTCTTTCTTACTATTCCTGCATCTCCTATGGATGTGCCTAACACTGAGAGTGATGTTTCCTCTGAATTTAATGTGTCTTTGACCTTAATTGGTTGCCATACATGGTTCCCTTACTCCCTTGGTCTCCACTAATCTGTGAAACCCTCCAACCCCTATTTGGTCATCCTATGATAGGTTGCCTAAAGCTTAGGAAAATTCTTAATATTTCTATTTACTCATTTATCTCTCCAATTCATCGTCAAAGAACGCATGCTTTGTGTGCTCCAAAGCGGAAGGAAGCCATGAAATCTAAAATTTATACCATTCTCTCCAATCACGATTGGGATCTTGTTCAAGGCTCTCCTAATACCAAGATTTTTAGTTGTCGTTGACTCCACTTTCACAAATATGATGGATATCTCAAGCTCGACTGTTACAAGGTTCGTCTTGTTGTAAATTGATTCTTTTAACAACAAGGCTTGGAATTTGTTGATACCTTTAATCTAGTTGTAAAATTGATAACATTTGTATTGTTTTAAGCATTGTCATTTCTCAATGATGGCCTATTCATCAGCTTGATGATAATGCTTATTTCCTTAAAAGTGACCTAACGAAGGAGGTGTATATTAAGCATCCTCGTAGGAATGCTAATATGAAATTCCCTAATTATGTATATAGGATTTATAAAACCTTATAATACCTCAAACAGACTCCTTGAGCCTAGTATCAGTTGTTTGTAGTTCATATCACCTATCTTGATTTTAAAAGTGGTCATTCTGACAGCTCTCTCTTCACGTATCATCATGGATCTAAGATTATCTATATACTTATCTATGTTGAGGATGTCATCCATACATATTCCTCTTCCATATGATCACGAGAATCACCTCTTATTTATTAATTGAATTCCATATGACTAACTTAGGTTCACTCTCCTTTTTCCTTAACATTGATGTTTCATGGATTGAGTATGGCCTCCTCTTGTCTCATATAAATTTTGCCAAAGAAATCATCTATCATATAGATATGTCCACATGCAATCCCCCACTAGCTACACCAATAGACAATAAGACTAAGATCTTCTCTTAGGGAAAGCATGTTGATGATCTAATGCTATATCAAACTCTGGTTGGGGGCCTGTGAGATCTGACATTTACTCTTCCTAATATCTTTTATGTGGTTCATTAGATATTCCTCTACATGCATGATCCTCGTGAGTCTGGACTTGCCTTAAAGTGTATTCTTCTGGTACCTATGTGGCACTCTCATGCATTGCCTTCCCCATCACCCATCTTCCGGTGATCGTTTAGTTTCTTACTATGATGTTTATTAGGTCAATTTTTCTCAGAATCACAACTCCATTTCTTGATTTTATATTTTCCTTGATGGAAATTTCATGTTTTGGTTCTCAGTAGCGTATGCAGAAAAAAAAATATATGAGGGGTTGCACAATTTTTTAAGGGTTACACTACTAAAAAAACTCGTTTTTTGGAAATCCGTCACGAAAAGGGTTACATTGACATATTACATTAAATTTACACTTATTAGGACTAAGTTAGAGACTTTCCAGCGGATTCGTGCACAACAAAAAACCTAGCCTTAGCGGCGACAAATGTCGTCATAATTGATTCCAGATGTCGTCGCTAAAGGTATTAGCAATGGCATGTCGTCTCTAAAGCGTCGTCGCAGTTACATCGTAGCTAATACTCGTTTGTCGTCTCAAATACTGTCGTCTCTAACACATGCCGTCCCTAATACTCCTGTGGCGTCGCTATTTTTGTCGTCTCTATTGAAGTTCCGACCACCGGCCAGAGTTTTTCCGACAAAGCTTGCTGGAGTTATGTGTCGTCGCAATTAGTAGACGTCGTCTCTAAAGGTGTCGCTGCTAATGTTTTTTTTTTTTTTGAGAAAAAACATATTTTTTATGATATTATAGTTTATATCATAAAATGCAGATTTGTTAAAAATACATAAATAAATACATACCACATTACATAAAACATCAAACATACCATATTTCATATCTAATAAATCCTATATAAACATCTAATAAATAATTCATAAACTATCTAATAAATACAAAATAACATCATCGATAACATAAAACAAGAAATATTATGTTTCTTCGTCTTCGTCTTCGTCTTCCCCATCATTGTTGACTTGGTTTTTAAAGGAGCGTATAATGTCTCCAATGGCCGTCACAAATATCGGGTTTTGAAGAAAAGCATTCACATCAACATCCTACAATTAAGTCACCAGTACATTAAGTCATTAACAATTCAACAAACTATCAAACCATCAAAGCACCAAATGAGTTAAATCGTTAACAATTTAAGTCACAAGTACCTGTGCTGGTTGCAGTGTTTGTGATTGTGACTATCATTGGGATGGAACACTTGTACCCGCAGCTGAAGGAGGTTTAGGCCCAATGTCTCTCACATGCCCCCTTCGTGTACCCAAGACCTTCTCAAATATTGCGATCCAATCAATAGTGTCTCACCACCAGAGTCGGCTATGTGATGAGTATGTAGAGCAACCTCAGCAACTAAGGCATTCTGTATTTCACAAAGATTGTTAATATACGTTAAAACTAACACAAAAAACCAACAATCTACTACAAGAATTTTAAGTAATAATAACTTACATATTGCTATTCAACCAAAGGATCAACAAATTCTCCTTTTTTTATTCACATGCATAATGAAATACTTCAAGTCTATTCAAATTCTGTTTAACATTACAAAATATGTTATATTTGAATAAACAGTAGAAAATATGTTATAACCGAATAAGCATTATTGTAACTTACTTTTTTGAAACAAGCACTACCATAGTTGCACGTCCCTCAACGATTCTTCAGTACTTGCTTCTTTCGGAATTCTTTGTTTCCAGCGGATCCTATGCCTGTAGGGACTTGAGCCATTGCTACCTCCACATCCGCTGCAAAATCAATCAAACGGTTTTTTGCAATATTTGTGCAGCCTCTATACCGCGCACATATCCGATTGTTCAGTGACGCCCAATAAGTTGAAGTCATGGGATGATTTGCAATCAATCCAAAATCAAACCATGTCTACAAAAAAGAAATAGAGAAGTTAAAAATAAATCAAACTAAACAATATTAAATATATATAACTTTATAAATAACTTACCGAAAGATATTGGAACTTGCCAATCTTTTCGGCTCCAGAAACATCAGTTCATGTGTCCTTATTAAAACCGATGTCCCGCAATATATAGCTCCTAACCTCCCGAATGAAACATTCATACACCTCCCCAATCGGCATGTTAGTATTTATGTCGAATACTATCTTCAAAGGTCGTTCACTGTTAGCTTTATATAGTTTGTGCATTTTATTATTTACCGCCGCGCCTCTTCGTCTCGGAGGCACCACTGCATAAAAAAATATTAGTCAAAATAAATTTTATGTACATACAATATGAAATACAATGAATTAGAATAAATCTTAATTATCATCATTCTGGTGATCACCAAAACCTCCACCGAACGGATGTGGTGGCTCGTCACCATTGTCGCCTCCATGACCCATCACAGCAGCCATGAGATGGAGCAATGCAATCCAAAAAAATAACACCCTGAAATTTTTTAACACAATATGAATATATATATATATATATATATATATATATATATATATATATATATATATATATATATATATGATTACAACAAATACAAACCTTACTTTACCAATCAAATGTAAAGATTTTTTTAATCATTCTCGCCCTCAGACACTTCAGCGTCTGCTAACACATCACTATCATATTCAGAATCTTCCTCGTCATAATCAGTTTCGCAATCAGACACATTATTTATGATACTCGTTGGTGGGTCAAGTTCAATACCATCTTCAACGCAGATGGTCATCAGAGTTTGCGAGAGAGAGTGGTAGAGGCCGACTGAGTCGTCTGGGACGAAGGGTAGTCAAAAGGACGCCCTAGCAATTGCGACGACACCTTTAGCGGCGACGCCCTAGCAACTATGGCGACAAATTGGAGGGAAAAACACACGCCATTCTCCGGTAGTAACTGTCCGATCTAAAAACAATTCAAGGGCCACGATGACATTCACGTGGATCGCTAATAATAGCGGCGACAGATTGACTCCATTAATGTCGCCGCTAATACTTCCCACCAGATGAAACCCTAACCGATGGATCACCATAGCAACCTACGGTCACGATTAAATGGCGTGTGGCACAAGAGGATCGCCGGTGGAACCCCTTTAGCGACAACAACTGTAGCGACGACGGTACCCTTTAGCGACGACATCCCCTAGTGTCGCAGCTAAAGCCAGTCGTCGTTGCTAAAACTGTCGTCCCTAAAGGACGTATTTCTTGTTGTGGTGACGGATTTCTGATGGATTTGTGACGGAATGGTGATAGATTTTGATAAATTTACATTAAATTTTGCACTTGACGGGAAAATTTGAGAAGTTGCCCATTCCACGTTTTACAAACGACATGTTGCGGAAATTGCATAGCTTCAAAACATTCTTCTGGAGCTGTCATGTTCTCTATCTTGTACTACATATGGTTTATTAATTTTGTAACAATGTTAGTGCAATGTATTTAAGTTCTAATCGATTTTAGCACCAAAGAACCAAATTTGTGGAAATAAACTTACATTTTATTAGAGAACATGTTGTTATTAGACATATACATGTTCTGTCAACCGTCAAGTCACCAGTTTGTGGTTATTGTCACAAGGGACTACCTTAAAAACTATTTTTGGAACTCAAAGACAGTTTGAATATACACGAACCTTTCGCTCAAACTGAGAATGTGTGTTAAACCATATTAAATTTATCATTCTTTTTGTATCAGTGTTTATGGTTCATGGTTCATTTTATAATATGATGTACTATTTATACGCAGTGCAATACAAACCTTGCATGGATTTCCATATTCCAGCAATAATAACTAATTAAGTCATAATTAACCAAAAATGTTACACGTTTAACAAATCATAATCACTTAAAGTTTTACAATTCGAGTACTCGTCGTTAAAAAGGTTCGATTTGGCGATTGTAATTGCAACAAAAAAGTTCCAAACACACAAATACAAAAGTTATTATTTAAAACAAAACTTACAACATCAAATCCTAGTATGAATAACGTCACTTCGTTAATCAAAATAATAAAACTAAATCCTCATCCATCCAAAATCTATAATCGTCAACGTCGGGTAATATGATGGTGGTGGCGATACAACGTTAAATGTGCTCGTAAAATGTGTTCATAGTAAAATTCCGCTCCAGCTGCTCCAATCATCGGTCCGGCCCAAAAAAGCCACTGAAATGATAAACTCCATATTTTACAGTGTGATAAACATTATATCTTGCATATAAATTTCTCATATATTTTATTAAACATTATATCTTGCATATAAATTTGTCATATATTTCATTAAAATTGTATACGTACATGATCATTCCACGTTTCTTTCTCATTGTACATCACCGCTGGCCCAAAACTACGAGCTGGGTTGATTCCGGTTCCGGTTATTGGGATTGTGGCTAAGTGAACCATGAAAACAGCAAATCCGATAGGCAATGGTGCCAATACCTTGTCATTCAACAAAACATAACCTAAACGACTCGATGAATTGAAAATTATAACTCGTTAACAATTAAGAAAAAAAAAAGTATGGCCCCATTAAATAACCTGTCTCATTGGTAAAAAAAAGTACATAAATTTCAATTATTGAAAATGAGATTCTCATTGAATTTCACTAGTTTCCACTAAAATAAGGTAGTGTTTGGTATGGGGCTAAAATGTAGAAGAATAAAAAACGTGTTTTTTTATAACATAATTAAGGGAAAATGATACAATGTCCTACGAACTTTCTAGGGTTTACCTGTAGAGTCCATAAAGTTTTTTGTCGGACTTCATGAGTCCCTAAATTAGGATATGACCTGCTCTTTTAGTCAATGTCAACTTATAATAGCTGGTTCCGTGATCTTTTAAACAAAAAAACGCATATTGTGCCCTTATAAAGCCAAAATAATAAGTTTGCAGATCAATACATATTAAGTGTGGATCGTTTTTAGAAGAAAATCAAAGTTTTTTTTTTTGTATGAATTGATCTCTGAACTTATTTATTTGTTTTATAGGGGCACAATATGAGTTTTTTTTTGTCTAAAAGGTCACTGAACCGGTTATTACTGGTTGACAGAAACTAAAAGAGCAGGTCAGATCCTAGTTTAGGGATCCATAAAGTCCGATAAAAACTTTAGTTACTCAACGGATAAATCCTAAAAAGTTCGTAGAGCATTTGTTGTCAATTAATCGGACCAATTATATGAAGTTCCATTAACATATGTTTGATCAAAGAATACAATGAGCATATGTTTGATCAAACATCAAAGAATATAATGATTGATTTCATTATCTTCCTGTTTCCATTACCCTAACTATAATAAGAGTACATAATACTTACAGGAACATGGGAATCACGAGCATTTCTCTTTGGGTCGGTGGTGGAGAGTACTGTATACACAAGGATAAAAGTGCCAATAATTTCAGCCCCTAACGCGGTGAGTCGACCATAGCCATGTTGCAGCTCATTAACACCACCACCATTGACCATATAATAAGTCTTTTCAAAAGCCTTAACCAACCAACACCCACACGTTGCACCTGAACATTGAGCCAAGATGTACATAATGGCCCTTGGGATAGTCACCTTCCTAGCCAATAGTAGGGCAAACGTCACCGCAGGGTTCAGATGTCCACCTGAAAAGTGATAACCACCATATTTTCATTACAAAAGTGGTGGCGCAACCATTGAAATGTACCAAACTTACCGGAGATGCCAGCGGTGTTGTAAACAAGGACAAATATCATGCCACCGAAAGCCCATGCAAGGCCAAGAAGGCCAACGCCACCACAGTAACCGGGAGTATTCTTGGTGGAGTCATTTTGTGATCTCTTGTAACCAATGACGGTTGAAACTGTAATGTAAAGAAACAAACCGGTGGCAACGAATTCTGCTATGATAGCTCTATAGAACGACCATTTGGCTAGCTCTGCCGCCTCGATTAGTGGTGCCGCTAGCGGTTGTTGGTAGTCTCGGTCTCCGGCTGCCGCCCTGTCTCTTTGATCGTTGATACCCTCTTCTATGTCGGTATCAGTATCCATTTATTCAAGAAGATTTTGTTTTTTTGATCTTTTTTCAATTGAAAGGGCGTTGAATCTTATTTTGAATTTGAAGTGATTCAACGCAGAGAATATTTGAAAATGAAAAGAAAATGGTAGTGTTGACTATTGGAATTAGTTTCATGGAAGGTCAAAGTATATATGAGAGACAGAGAAAGAGAATTCAGCGTGCTTGTTATTCATGGAAGAGATGAATTAATGGAGAAATTGATGGATCTCTAAGAGACTTGTTCAAAAAAACATAAGAAAAATGACATTACGACATGTGGTAGTATCTTTATTTATTTTTAGCAAGTAAAAAAGGAGACACAAGAAAGTTCAGTTCTTTTCTTAATCGTGTTTGATGTATTTTGCGTATGAGCATTTGTTAAATCTTGCTACAATAATAAAATCGAGTGTGTGGCCAAAGAACAAAGAAAACAACCCATGTCTACTTGGTGACATTCCAAAATGATGCATCTTTTTTACTACGTCACAGCTATTAAATGGTTTAAATTTGACATTTAGCTTCCAACTATTCTCGATGTTATCATTTAGTCACTTAATGACTTTTTTTATACACTAAGGGTAATTAACATATAAATTTCATAACATGATTGCAAAAATCATTAAGCGATAACTAGTCGATCGACTGAATTCAAAGAATTAATCGGTTTAGATGAAGATTAATAGAAACTCTAATTTATATAAGATTTTGTTTTTCAAATATTACCAAACAGAAAAGTCTAACTCTTTTTATGTTCAGATATAAATCAAAGATTATATTGATAGGTAAGAGTTCAAACAAATAGTAAGTTTGATTCATTTAAGCTCTAATACAAAGCAATGAGAGATTATCATAATTGATGAGGTCAAACAACAGTTTCTCATTTATGCAAATCATTGTTCATTTTAGGGGTAGTTAGGTGTTGGTAGAAGCTTAACATTTTCAGTATAGTTGGTTGTTTTGGTTCCTTGCACAAGCAGTAGTGTAACGCCGTAAAATTTCAAACAATTTTTTTTTAAAACACATAAAAACTCATAATATATCTTGCAAAAACATAATTGTTTCAAGTGTCAACACAAATCCACATAATAATGTCACTATCCCATAATCAACCACATAGTCTCGTGTCGGTATTTACAATCATGCCGGTGCCTTCTCGTGATCCTGAGAAGTACCTGAAATATATAACACATAACACGGTAAGCACTAAGCTTAGTGAATTTCCCCAAATAAGACCTGAAATATATCTCATAAGACTCTCATGGCTATGCTCAAATAAGACCACCCGATCAATGTGTCTCAGTGGGACCTTTTAGTCCCACAACTCAGGTGGACCCTCCGGTCCTAACTCAGTAAGCTCAAAATAATACACAACACAAATCACAAAGACATAATGCAGTATATCACAATACTCAATATAAACACATAAGACCTTCCAGTCACACAAAAATTACCATTCTAGGTAAAATATAGTGAGAAAACTCACCTCGTAAGCAAGCAAGTAAATAATCCCGTACACGAATCTCGAACTAGACTCCGCCTAACACATAAGATAACTATCTCTAATTAACATTTAAATCACAACTCTAAATAAACTAAGTTATTCTCTCTCTCAAACTCTTGGAATGGGTAAATGACCATTTTACCCCTCCATGGTCCCCGTAATCCCTGCCTTGACCAAACCCTAAAGTCAAAAGAAGTCAACACTCGAGTCAACTGTCCATGTTGACCTGACTCGCTGAGTACATCTATGTGACTCGCCGAGTCCCCATTGTTCCTCAGATTATCGCGAAAACCCAATTTAACTCGTCGAGTTGTCTCATCAACTCGCCGAGTTACACATATCCAGACTCATCGGGGAAAACCCTAGCCGACTCGTCAAGTCAGCTCATTGACTTGATGAGTCCATTCAGTCTGTATTCTCATTCAGATGTTTTAAGGCAGATCCACCACTCCAAACTCTAGATCTAGTCTCCTAAGGCTCGAATGTCACGTAAAGCTTCGATCTTTACGTTCATTCATGGCATATTTGCTCCGTAATGCCAATACAAGCTCTAACAAGCGTTTGGTACTTATAGGCTTGCCTTTAACTCCATAAAGCTTGGGTCTTTAGGCTCCCAAGACCTCCTACAATCCAGATCTGAGCTAGGTTTCAACCTCAAGATCTACTCAAGGGACTAAATAGAACAAGAAGGATGGGGAAAAGCCCTAGAACTCCCCAAACTAAGATATCACTAGATAAATGATCAAGATATCATCTTTTTACCTCAAATGAGAGGCATGTTTGCTAATATGATTAAACCGATAAAAGAAGAGTTAAAAAAATATTTTGAAAATATGCACCCCATTATAACTTGTATCGCTGCTTTGAATCCGACTCTAAATGTTGTGGGGGTTGAAACTTTACTTGAAAATATTTTTTATGATTTGGGTTTATTGGATGATGACATATAGTATGCATCAAAAGAAATTTCAAAATTTAACAAAAAATTTCAAAGTTTGTTTGAAGTTTATTTAACAAAGTATGGTTCAACAAACAGCCATGGCATGTTGCAAGGTACAGGGGCATCCGGATTCACTTCTCACCAAAATAACGAAATAATTCGGCTCTATAATACTTTGAGGAATATAATTCCAAACGAGCTCGGTCTAACACCCCTATTAGCGATCTCGGAAAGTACATTGGTCTGATTTTTTTGGCACAAATGAGTGTGCAAGAGTTTGATAATTTTAATATTTTGGCTTGGTAGAAAGAAAAGGAAACCCAATTTTCGATTCTAGCCGTCATGACCCATGATCTACTAAGCTCCCAAGCTTCTACAGTAGCTTCGGAATCGGCTTTTTTTTAGTGGCAGAGTTATATCACCAAGAAGAACATAACTCACCAATTTGTCGGTGAAAGTGTTCATTTACTTGAAATGCAACCTCAATGGCATGGAACGGATACAAGACGTTGAATTACAAAAGGGCAAAGTGTTGCAAGTTGATCAACAAGTACATGACGAAGAAGTAGCCATGAGGTTGTTCGTGCCACTCACCCTAGGAGAGCTCAAGTACGAGAAAGCATTGCACAACGACATGATGGATGAAGAATAAATCCAAAAAACAATAAAAAAAACAATTTTGATGTTTTGTGTTTATGTTTGAAGATGTATTAGTTTGATAATTTTGATGTTGTGTGATTTTATGTTTGAAGTTGTATTATATATTTCAATACAAATAACAAAAAAAATGGTTGAAAATTGCTCTAAAGAATAAGGCTTATGCTTTCATCTCAATCCCCCCACTCAATTGCATCAAATGGCCACTGTGAATGAATTTTTTTTTTTTTGGTTAACCGCAATCCAAACACTACCCCGGTTCTTACTTTGTTGATCAGAATCGAACCGGTTTTCTGAACCGGTCCGGTTTAAAAAAAAAAACTAGTTTGTGCACGGCTATCTTGGAGTAACATTATATGGCAATTGGCAAACTCATACCTTGATAAACTTTTGGGTTTATGCATTTTAACATCCGGCTTTAGATCTTCTTTGGGCCCTATTAGAAGTGCTCTTTACTCTTAGTAGACAAAGGTCGGGCCGAGCTCTTGTTGATATTCTAAGAAAGTACCGGTCGTCTATTTATGGTTGTATAAATACTGATACAGATTTAGAAACTCAATCGGCCCAAAATTCTCTAAAGGGCATCAACAATTGATGCTATAAGATGAGTGTAATTTTTAAGTAATCATCGTTATATGAAATTAGGAACTGTTTTTAGTGGCGTATTAATGGCAGGATTGGGTCAGTATTTGTGTATGTTTTGTAGATATGGTGGACACCATTTGCCACTATGATCTCGAAGTTATAGAACCAAATAATGTACTAATAGTATTTTAAAGAGAAGCATCAAGCATGAAACAAATAAATACCCAAAACAATACTTCAATAAATAATTAAATACCACTCCATAACATTTCTCCATATACAAATCGATAATAAAATATCCTTACACCAATTTATGTTCGTAAACGTGAATAAGTGAGTATTTGTTTCTGTTCTTTTATTAAATAAATAAATGAATATGAACAAGATCTTTCATGTTTAATTAAAAAAAAAAAAAAACACGAACAATAGTCTCATTCATTTAATTATGTTATATATGTTTGTTTATTATATTATATTATACAATGCGAAAATAATGTTTTTAAAAGTGGTTACGGTTTACAACTTAGAGATTCGATAAATGTTAGTACAATAAACATATTAGAAGTGTGACGTCATGTTTTACAATTCTTGAATGTTGATTTTCATTTATGCTTTTTCATTTATGATCATTTATGTGCTTATAATATTAACGAACGAACAAGTTAATTTGTTTAACGAAAGAACACGAACAAGAACTAGAAATTTAGTTCATTCATTTGTTCGTGTTTGTTCATTTATTCGGTTAGCTTAAATGAATGAATATGAACAAACTGTTTTTTTATGTTTGTTCAGTTCGTTTACAGTTCTGCTGGCTTTTTAAAAAAATACTATAAATATAAGTCGTGTTGCATATTCTATAAATCAAGGGGGTAATTAGTGTCCATATATGGCAACTCCAATCATTTCGTTAATTTGTTGATTGTTTCCGATTTCCGAACTAATTAGATTTAGGAGTTGATTAAGAGCATCTTCAACACGATACAAAATCCAGTTTTAAATCGTTTTTCAACAACTCATTATGGCAGATTTAAATTTTTATATAAGTTACAAAATTGGAAATATACTGAAGTATGCTACTCAGTAGGGTTGCAAACAAACCGAACGAACATGAACAGAGGCTTGTTCACGTTTGTTCGTTTAAGTTAACGAAGAAATAAACGAACACGAACGAGTTTTCTTGTTCTTTTTCATTCGTTTATATTTGTGAACATGCTAAACAAATATAAATAAACAAAGATAAACAAACATAATTGAACCTATATGAACACAGAATATAGTAATTTAATCAAACACAATTAAACATATATAAACATAAAAAATATATATATATATATATATATATATATATATATATATATATATATATATATATATATATATATATATATAAACTAACATAAACAAATGTAAACAAACAACGTAAACGAACGATACCATTGTTCATGTTCGTTCGTTTAACTAAACGAATGAGAATTTGTGTTCATATTCGTTCATTTATTAAAAAAACGACCATAAACAAAATCCTTATCGAACGGTTCACGAACAGTTCGCTGAACGTTCAATTCGTTTACAGCCCTACTACTTGGTATAAAAAAAGTAAAAAATATATATAATGATTAAGGATGAATACTTTTTGTGCCAATTTTACCTTTTTACCTCATTTAATGCAAAATATGGTGTTATATCGGTTGGAAATGAAATAAATGGTGTTTGAGGTGCCCTAAATAGTATGAGAAATAGTTATAATCAAGGACTACAACTAACGCAAGAAATTAATAAAATATCTTATTTAAGATTGGTTCAATTTAAAGACCTCAATTATATATTTTTAATAAATTAAATTTCAACATTTATGTTATGCAATCAACAATTTATATACCATATACATAATGTTTTGTGTGGGTGAATAGTTTTCACACCGTTTGTTTGATACAATAGAGATTAACACCATTTTGGGTGATCTTGAAGTGACATTTGAGATGATCTAAATTCAAATCATGCCACTCAACCAAAATGCCTTTCAATATGAAGCAATCAACCACAAGTCCACAACCCGTTGTGTCATCGAATGCTTTCAAAAGGGGTATAAAATATGAGAAATGGTTTGTTGAAGATGAAAATAAAAGGATTAATGAAACAAATATCCATATATTTACTACAAACAAATATGAAAGATTGAGCCCTTAACCTTAGACTAGACCACAAAGTTCCAAATGCTTGGAGAACTCTATAGCCAAATAACAAATCACTCTTTCTAGAAAACCTAGTCTTTCAACCTTTTGATGTGTATTTCCAATGACATTTTCAAACTCCAATCAACATACCATGAATTTTTACAAAGGTTAATGTCACAAAATGATATTTACCAATCAACAATTTTTTGGGCTTTCATTACACCATTTGGGTGTATTTCAATGAGAGTAAAAGAATATTGTTCGCTATTGCATTCAATATGATGGAATTTGTTCATTTTTGTCAATTTAGCACTTGACATGAATGTTGACATGAACAATATGAAAGAATTTCCAAGTTCGAATCCATTAAAACTGTTTAATGAGAACGAGGAAAAGAAGAACTCATTGACACTTTGAATACCATTTAAAAGACAAGCGACCCAAAGAACAAATGGAATATTGTTGTCATTCTACGACATTAAAGATCGAACCTTTAAACTTAAAGACCCATCTTTATGACTATTGGTTAAACACCCTGATGCTTAAAGATTGAATCTTTAACCTTAAACCTACAAATAAAGATTCTTTTATTCAACCTAACATAGTTTAAGAAATTCGACCATTAAAGTCAAAAGATAGTAATTTGAGCATTTTCTCCAACTCATCTGCAACTCCAGTTGAGTATCAATGGCGTTGCATCAAGATTAATGTATAACAGATACAAAAGCACATTGAAATCAACTGGAATTCACCACAATTAGCTATCTCAGTTCAAACACTCAACCCAATTATGGTAAAGAAAACTATGTAAAGATAGAGTTACTTTCAAAATTCCTAAATTAAAAACACAATGTGATAGAAGGAGAAAGAGAAAGAGAAAGAGGAATACGAGTAAAATCAAAACCCTAGATTGATCAATCGAGAGGGATTTCAACATCACCATCAGCAATCTCCTGCTGTAGATCCTTCGGATCCTTTCCATCAACAGTACACCCAACCGAAACGCAAGTTCCGAGGATTTCCTTCACTGTCCCTGCCAACTCCTTCGCCATTGACCTCGGCCTCATCACCTTCGCAATCTCGATGACGTCGTCAAGGGAAATGTTGCCGGAGTGCTTGATGTTTTTCACCTTCTTACGGTCGCGTTCCGGCTCCTTCAAGGCTTTGATGACTAGAGCTGCGGCGGAGGGGACGACGGAGACTTTAGCTTGACGATTTTGAACGGTGAGCTTCACGGTGACACGTAAACCCTTCCAATCCTTGGCTGTTTCTTTCGCGATGTCTTCTCCGATCTTCTTAGGGGAGAGACCGAGTGGTCCGATTTTGGGAGCGAGTGAAGATGCTGCACCCACCTCACCTCCGGTTACACGGACATAGACATCTACGACTTGAGATGGGTCGAACTTCGGCGGCATTTTTCCGGATTTGGAGGTGGTGAGGCACGGCGGCGATGGTTTGATGGATGGAAGAAGAAGAAGAAGAAGAAGAAGAAGTGTAGTTTTATATCGTTAGGGATTTTGAAAGATAGAAATGGATTTTTGTTTTGGGCCTGGTATGATCATGGAGCTTTAAATTAACGTGGTCCATTGGGCCAACTTTACAAAATTATATTAATGGTTTGATTATTAGATTTATGGGAAAATTTCATGTATACCCTAAATAAACAAGGAAATATCATATTTACCCTAATTAATATCTAAATATCATATATATCCTAAATGAACAATCATAATATCATATTTGCCCTAATTTTAAATCTTAATACTTTTATAACCAGTAATTAGTATTTAAAATCATTTTAATTAAAAACAACAAATAAATTGACCATAATACCCCTTTCCAAACACATTACCAAAGCCCTACGTTGATGAAAGATGCCATCTACGCACGTCGCCTCCATGATTCTTGCCCCGTCGTCATCTGCTCCACAAAACCTCGATTGATCAAAGCCAATTAGCGATTCTAATCATTAGAGGCTTGAGACCAGGTAATATGTCATTCATATCTCTAGTGATTTCATCTCTAGATTCTTGATTATACCTGCGTGGAGTGTGATAATACATGTGTGTAGTGTGTTTTATGTGATTATACACCTGCGTCGAGTGTTTCAATACCATTGATGGTTGTGTTGGGTGTTTAAATATCATTAATTATCTACTTTATTTTTGAAAACTAAAGCTTTTAATTTAATGTACATTAATTACACGATTATGACCCATAAAAACTTGTTGTCGATACGTTCATGCATAATCACACAAAAACAAGTAATTGCTTTAAAGCTCTTTGTCACTAATGTACACTAATTTCAAGAAGTGTCGTAATTAAATTTTGAGTCTTCAAAGCAATTGACTACTTTATAAACCTAATCAAGCCCATATTATATTACATGTATTGATGACTGAGTATTCTTTCTACAAAGGCATGTATCAACAGTTTAAAGGCAACCCTTTGTCTTCTTTGATTAAGGATCTTATGGTCATGCCTACCCCAAATTTCAGATTATGCCTTTTTATTCCAGAAAGAGTAGAAGTGGATGATTAGTTCATGACTCTTAAAGTTCTTTCCCACTATGATGAGGCTGCCGAATTTGCTCAATTTTATGATAAAGCAACAAAAAACATAATATTCTAGATGTTTAAGATTATTAGTTTTTTTAGAGATGTTAATGTATATTAATGTTTTACTTATTTTTTAATATTTTTTTACCAATATCGAGAATTGATAGATGGAAGATACTTTTGATATTATCCTTGACGACACCTCGAAACCGGTATGGGAAAATAGGGTCGAGTCTCCAATAATCGATTACGTTCCTGCAAGTATACCAATGGGCAAGTACAAACTAAAATTAAAATATGGGGGTTTCTTTCGGTTAGCGAAGAGCACTTGTAAGAAAATATATTGTTTTGGCTCTCAAAAATGCATCCACATAGACACATGGTCCTACAATTTTAGTCAACTAAACGAAGAAGTTATAAAGCGTTATTCATCAAAGAACAATCCAAAATTTTCAATTTCCTATGTTGATAAGTGTGCATTAGGTCAATCCTTTATTGAGCTTGATTTTGATGAGAAGTTCATGGCTATGCTTAATATGTATGAAAAAGAGAAAGAAGTAATCATTTACATCACAACAGAGAATAACCACAACTCAAATAATCAGTGTGCGCATAACCATCTATGTGACAACATAGATGAACCCCATGATGATTCAGACTACTGTCCTAGTGAAGAAAGCTATTATAGTCACCTTAGTTCTGAGAATGAAGATGAGCCAACAAATGATGATGAAGCAGCTTACTCTTTTAGTAAGAATACTGTATGCATGAAAGTTGGCACAAAATTTGAAAACGTGGTTGCTTTTCGGAGAGCTTTGAACCATTACGCAATCATAAATGAGTTTGACTACTATATTCAAAAAAGTGACCCGACACGATTCACAGCAAGGTGTGAAAATATAGATTGCAATTGGAGAATTTATTCGTCTGTCATGCAAGATGGTATTACCTTTGAAGTAAGTACATACCTAAGTTATTTTTAACATGATTTCCAATTAAAATATATTTATATATGTTCATTTAATTATTATGCAGGTTAGGAAACTTGAAGAAGGACATATTTGTACTCGAAGTAACATGGGTGGTAATAAGCGTGCCACTTAAGGATGGATTGCAAATATAGTTACTGACAAGTTGAAGTCAGATGGGGACATTTCTCCCATGGATCTTAGAAAGTGGATTATGAAAACTTACAATGTTAACGTACCATACCTAAAAGTATTCAGAGGGAAAGAGCAAGCATATACTGATATGCATGGTAAATGGGAAGACTCTTTCATGAAGATGGATGTATTTAGGGAAGAATTGCTAAATAGGAACCAAGGAAGCGTTGTCGAAATTGACTTTGATGTAGTTGGTGGCAAGAAACGCTTCAAAAGGTTTTTTATTTCTCTGGCCGCTTGTTCGAGAGGGTTTCTTGCTGGTTGTCGTCCTTATATTAGTCTTGATGCTTGCCATTTAAAAGGAAAATTCAACGGTGTATTGGCCGCTGCAACTAGTGTTGACGCTAACAATTTCATCTTCCCGATAGCCTATTGTGTGCTTGAATCAGAGAACACACAATCATGGACATGGTTCCTTGAATCACTTCAAAAAGCAATTGGGACGCCAAGTGGTCTCGTTATCTCTTCAGACATGCAAAAGGGGTTAGAAGTTGCCATCATGCATGTTTATCCTAATGTTGAGCATAGAGAATGTATACGACACTTATATAGCAATTTCAAGAAACGTTTTCGTGGTAAATTCTTCAGCAAGAAACTATGGAGGGCTGCAAAAACCTACTTGCCTACCAAGCATGATAGATTATTGAAGGACATTGGTGATGTAAGTCAAGACGCCATCACATATCTAAATACCAACCACAAAAAGGTATGGAGTAGAAGCAAGTTTGGCATAACTTCGAAGTGTGATTATGTCACTAATAATATTTCAGAATCATTTAATTCTTGGATTGGTGTATTGCGCTTTCAACTCGTGCTTGATCTACTTGATGCAATTAGAGAAAAACTTATGAAAAGATTTGATAATAAAAGAATGTTAGTGAACAAATGGAATGGTACATTGGTTCCTATTGCTAAGAATCATGTTAACGACATTTCAAAGGTAAGTATGTTAAATTATAATTGAATTACATATCTATAATCATCTTACCAATATCTTTTTTTTTTATGTAGAACTTGGGTGAATATGAAGTTTGTAGAAGTTGTGACAATAAAGTTGAAGTGAAATGCAAGGGACAACGTTGGGAGGTATACTTAGATGAAAGAAAATGTAGTTGTCGGGTGTGGCAAGTTACGGGCCTTCCATGTGTACACGCATCAGCTTTTATTGCTTTTACGAGGGATGTTAATTGGGACAAACATGTTGATTCGTGTTACACTATAGAGAAATTCAAAGAAGCATATGCTTTTGAAATTTCTCCGATGCCTGGAGCGGATGAATGGATGCAAAAAGATAGGGATAAAATATATCCACCTATTATCAAACGTCCGGTTGGACGACCCAAAAAAAATAGGATCAAATCATCAGATGAATCGAAAAGAAGACACAAATGTCCACGATGTGGGGAGTACGGACATCGCGAAAAGACATGCAAGAACCCTGCACTTCAAGGTTTAGATCCAAGTGAAACATCAACCTCAAAAAAAATGAACCGGTGTTCATGACAGTTGGTTGTTTTCAAAAGTTTTTATTGTTAGTTAAAATTATTTTGTTTTTGAAAACTTTGTAAAGTTGTTTGAGACACACAAGGTTAAGTGTCAACATGAAAAAATATGTCGTTAGTTTTTAATTTTTTAAACTTGGTAAACTTGTTTATTAGTTGATTTTGATAAACTTGATTTCTTGTTCTTAGATGTAGTACTTTGATTTTTTTTTTAAGATTGCATTTATATATATGTCGGATGGTTTTTCTTATAGACTAATAGGTTAATAATTACTTTTATTGTTATCATTTCTCATCTTTATTATTTATCTTTCTAATGACAAATGTAATCACAAACATATAAAATAACGTCTTAATGGATTAAAACACTTTTGTTTATATTAAGTCATAAAATGATCATTTTGGGTAAATATGATATTTTGACAATTTAAGGTTATATATGAAATTTTAAATATAGTTTTATAAAAGGGATACAATAGTCAATGAATAAAAATAATGATTTAAAATGATTATAAAATATTAAAAAAAAACATTCAGGGCAAATATGATATTATAGATACTTATTTAGGGTATATAGGATATTTAGAAATTAAATAGGGCAAATATGATATTTCATTGTTTATTTAGGGTATATATGAAATTTTCCCTAGATTTATTTATTTATTTATTTTTTCAGTTTTGATTTCCATTTTAGTTTTAGTTACTTATCTTGTTACATAGGTTACATATGAAAATATGATATTTGTTTCGGTGTAAATTGTGGTTTGTTTCAAGATGGGTTGGCAGTGGGCTGGCCAAAAAGGAGGGTTTGGAGTTTATCAAATCCGTTCTACTATTTATTTTCTCATGTAACGATCATTTGTATATTTTATTTTAAAACTTATATCAAATTAATTTTGTATGTTTTTAATTAATTTGTGAATTAGTTTTATATGCTTTGATATTTTAAAAATTAGTTTTGTATATTTTAAATTAATTTGTGTTTTATTTTAAAATTAAAAATTAGATGGGTTGAATGGGCTAAAAAAATATAGGAGTTTATATGATTTGGAATGAGAAAAAATAGAAAAAAAAATGAGACAAAAAAATTAATGTGAAATTAGGTAGACGTGCTCAAAAAACCGGTTTGGGAACCGGATCACCTCATAAACCAGTAAACAGGTTCGACGTGAATCGATTCAAGAAGAACTGA